TTCCCCCGCCGCTCCATCCTCCTGATCGCCCTCCTCGACACGCTCTCCCTGGTCGTGATGGTGGTGGCGGGCGCCTCCACACCCCCCGTCCTCACTGTCCTCTTCATGCAGGCCACCCTCCCTTTCCTCCTCCTCCTCTCCTCCTGCCCGCCTTCCTTCCCCACCTGCTTTGCCACTGCCAAGCGCCGGGAACAGAAGCGCTTTCATCGCGCGCACTGGCAGGGGGGGGGATTGATCCTCCTAGGCATTGGTGTCGCGATGGCCCCCACCGTGCACGTTGCCTTTTGGCACCGACAGACTGACATAGGTGGGGAGGAGGGGCGGGAGGAAGGGGGGGAGGGAGGAAGGGAGGGTCTGGTCTTGTGCAAGTCCATTGTCCGATAGGTGGCAGATAGACGCACAGACACGGACACAACATATATAGACGTATATATGTATAGATGTATATGTATCTGTTTATCAATTCATGATTTTCCCCACACATACACACACGCATCCAGGCATCAACACCCTCGCCTACGTGCTCTGCTGCCTGCCCGCCGCTGTCTCCCAACTGGCGAAGGAACAAGCCATCATCGAGTTTGCACAACCCATTAATTTTTACTACTTGAATCTCCTCCTGGGAATATACCAGTTCGTCCTCCTGCTGGTGCTGTCCCCCCTGACGTACCGGCTCCAGGTGGGGAGGGAGGGAGGGATGGAGGGAGGGAGAGGGGACGGAACCAGTCAGAAAATCTCGTTTGGTCTTGCCTCGTCACGTCTGTGCGGACCTAGAGCCTGGCCTTTTCCACCCTATTTCCAAACCCCTCCCACTGTCTGTAAACTGGGAGGCTGAGGCCTTTTCCCTCATGCTTCCCATTGTCTCCCACTCTTTGTGGACCGAGAGGCAGCCTCTGATTCCCTCGCGTCTCCCCCCCATTCCAGGGGCTGGGAATGGGCTGGGACCCGTACGGGGCTACTGATCTGGGCACGGCCGTCTCGGACCTGTGTTTGTGCCTCTTCACCGCCCGCAGCATTCCTCCAGGGCGCTATCCGATCGAGCCAGAGTGTCGGTACGCCTCGTTAGCCACATTTTTGTACATACTCTGCACCCTGCTGGTCACCTTTGCGGTCAACGGCGTGCTCGCCTCGGGGACCCCTCAAATGCTCTATCGGACCATCAATGGGTCGGTTGCCCTGGCTTTTCTGGCCCTGGCCGTGTATTCCGTGAATAAATGGGCGTGGGTTTCCTCCTATGCTCTCAATGTCTTCGATTTCATTGGCCTCTTTTTGGTCCTGGCAGGCATGGAGTGGTACCACAGTCAGCCCGAGCCCGACACGGAGATGCTCACGCAGTTTTCGCTGGAGGATGGGGAATTTTTCTAGAAAGTCGAGAAGACCTTCGAGGACGCCGCTCCTCCGGCTATGCCCTGATAATGCATACAAAGAACAAAGTTTGTGGACTGGAAAAAGGCGGATGCACAGGGCTCTGAAGGAGCCTCCCATTTTTTCTTCGCTTGCACCACCGTCACGTTATGTTTTGAAATCTCCTTGGTAAAATCAAACTTCAAGCATTATTAATTTTTCCGCCGTGGACGTACCTCACTGTCTCCATCACGGTCAGCGTGTGGAGGGCAAATATATAGCATCCAATGACACTCCTTTCCTCATTCCAAAATTTAAAGAAAACCTGTATCGTTTGGTTTGTTCGCATTTTAAAATATGAGAGAGACACATCCACGATCGTCAAGGCAATCGAAGTCACACAAAAAGTGATTTGTTTGCCTCCTTAGGCCCTTTCCTCTTTCACGGCGATGCCAAATCCTCATACCCGGATTTAACGGCAGTTCAGGAACGGCTGAGCAGCGCCTTTTGTAGATAATTTTGTTGATATGCATGCATAATTTGGGGAAAATTATGGGTGCTTCAGAGGCAGCAGGCAAGAAAATCTCTCAACAAAACGTAAACACACTGGACCCCTGCAAGACTTTTGCGGATGTCGGTTCCGCCGTTTTTACGCGATAAGACCCACCCGATTCATGTGCTTCGCGTTGCTCCCCTTTTCATGTCCATGTACGGCAGGAAAATGGTGACCGTCATGGACGAAAGCACTTTTCTGCAGCTCTTCCAGCAGGAAGGAAGTGAGGATGGCATACCCGACTCTTTCCTGTTTGCAGCTGCGCATGCGGCCGATCATCAAGCTCTGATAGGTCTCCTCAACTCCCTTGCTGCCGATGGCCTGTTGGAACTCACCTCCCGGGCCAGCACGTTCCTCGAACTCACTGAGGAAGGGAAGAAAGTGCTTGCCGACGGTTCCCCCGAAGCCAAGGTGTTCGCTGCCATCAGTCCTACAGGGGAGGGCACTACTCAGGAGGCACTCTTGAAGGCCTTGGGAAAGGACTGCGTCAAGATCGGCATGGGGCCTTTGATGAAAGCCAAAGCGGTCCGAAAGGAAGGCGATAAACTCGTGCGGGCCGTGCCTGAATTCCAGGACGGGACTCAAGCCGTATTGCGGCAACTGACGGGCCAGGAAGGGAAGGAAGGACAGGCTCAAGGCCTGTCGGAGGAGGTGGTCAAGACGCTGCGGAAGCGGCAGCTCGTCACGCAGGTGAAGGCGTCGATGGGCACGATATAGGGAGGCTGAGAGGTGGGAGGGACTGTGGAAGGCCCTGGATTCCCGAGTAGACTTTGCCCACCTCACTCTCCCTCCCTTTCCCCTTATGCCTTGGGAGACAGGTCACTCGAAAATCGTTTTCCGTCCGTCGCGGGCCGCATTTCGCCCTCCAACGGACCAAAAAAGCGGCCGAGCTGACTAAGGAGATGCTTGACTCCGGGGAGTGGCGCACCACGGCCTTCAAAAGCTACAATTTCCAGACCCTTGGCGCCCCCGTCCAGGGCGGTTATTTCCATCCCTTGTTGAAAGTGCGTGCCCGCGGACCGCCCCTCTCTTTCTCTCTCCCTCCCGCCCTCCCTCCCTTCCTCGTCCCCACAGCCATGTCTCCTCCCGACCTGACATCCTTGATCATGTGCTCACAAGGTGGAGACCATAGAAA